AAGCTAATTTTATGTTATTACATTTTAAAATAGCACCTATTTTGCTTGTTATCAAAGGGGTAGTAGAATAAGGACTATCTTTTAAGCTGTTTGTAATTATTAGGTTCGGTTTAAGTCCTCGGGAAACAGCAGCATTTTCAAGGTATTTCAATTGATCATGAATACCCTTTTCGTAGGAACAAATACTCGACATGCGCCAAATTAGAGTTTTGTATACTCCAGTCTTCTGTCTAGATTTATTGTGTGGAAACAGGTTCACACTTTCTGATTTTCGAAAGATGACTGTGTGTAACTTGCCATCTGGGTATTGGGTAACAGAACCGAAAAAATGTATTCTGGTTCATAAGTGAATTGTACGTCTAGATGAAATTCATTTATTTTTCATGAAACTGTTTAATGTAATGTTAGCGTGTTGTCAATATAACGTACATGGAGATTTTTCATCCAGTTCATTGAAGAACTGATTCTGAGAGTCATCCACGAAGAAGGAACAGCGGATCGCACATGCTAAGATTGTGATTTGGTTGAAAACATCTAACTAGATATAAGTTCGTCACTGACAGTAGGAAGGGTAAAACATTTAAAATAATTTTTTACATAATAATATTTGACTTCAACGTTTTTTAACGATTAATGTTTGTGCGTTCTTATATAACAAAGCGACATCGGGATATCTGTAATGTCCACCGAAGGAAGTCGAACCCTTAATTTTAGCGTTGGAAATCCGTAGACTTACTGCTGTCCCATCGGGGGATTTAACGATTAATAGATTAAGAAAATTTCAAAATGTTTGACACCTCGTTAATGTTTAAACTCTAAACCAATAACACCCCTGTTGTAAACACCTTTATAAACTTTAATAAATTGTCTAGAATAACAAGTCTGGGAAATTATCACATTACAGATCTCTTTTCATCAAAGCTAAAATAGGAAATATAATCTGTGACGTAGAGGCCTTATTATTATTATTATTAATTCCTTTATTTCTCTATACTCTCTACTGTGAACTCCAGTTTCGTTTGAAGGCTCATCAGCACAGCTTGAGTCATCAAGCCAAAGAAATACAATAAGACCTCTTATACTGTGTATATAATATTCATGGAGTTTTTAAGCCCTTATTTAACTGAATATTTACTAATCTAAATAAAAAAATATCTAATATCATAATTAGGTATTATTCACATACCTAAATTAATTTAGATTACTAAATGGTGAGTTAAAATGGACTTATATGCTCCACTAATAATAGAGTCTGGAAAAATGCATAGAGTATTGTTAGAGTCTGGAAAAATGTATAGAGTATTGTTAGAGTCTGGAAAAATGTATAGAGTATTGTTAGAGTCTGGAAAATGTATAGAGTATTGCTGCAACAGTTCACTGACAAGTGAATATTTTACTGTTTTCAAATGTTAGCATATTTTTCTTAAAGATAATCTGAATATTTCCTACTTTTCGAATGAATAGATAATATTTACTAAATACAACCACGGGATCGCCTGTATGTTTGTTTTTACGATATTCAGTAATCCCACACTAATCTTCAGTAAATCAGGCTTCAGGTACAATAATGTGTAACCATGTTGCTTTTTAAATCCTAAACCTTGTACATGAAAACGTATAATGTACATAACAGCTATATTTTATATGATAGACCTCTTCTGAAGTTCGCCAGTTTCGCATTTTGCGAAAAACCATGGGTAATTCGAAAATTACTTATGAAAACCCCAAACAACGTTAAAATATTAACAGCATGTTAGAACAATACAGTGGTTGAAAGAGTTACGAAGGTAGCACACATCCGTTTTTTTATTTTATTCTCTTGTACGGGGTAAGGGGTTTAGTGGGTGTGTACTAATCGGTTAATATATTAGTAACTACCACTAATTTCCCATCTCTACTCATTACACATTGATATGAAGCAAAATGGGTGCTGTTTTAAAACGGAATAAAGTTGGAGCAGCTTATAAGCCAATGAACAAACTTTCAAATAAAGTCAGCAAAGGTAAAGATAAGACAGAAATTCATCACAGACAGGGTATTTATTCAATTCTTTGTTCTTGTAGTCGTGTTTATACTGGTCAAACAAAATGATCTATTTCGATTAGAATAAAGGAGCATGTAGGCTATTGTCGTCGAAAGGAAGATCAAAATTGACTATAGCATTTCGTGTTCACACAACTAATCACAAAATTAATTTCATGCAATCAAAAATTATTGTAGAACTCAAATTCTTCCATCAGACCAATATAAGATAATTAATACGAATATTTGAAAACAAAACATTTGTTGTCGGATTAGTATCTTTATTGTAACATATCTTCTTTAAATACCGGATTTCTAGTATAATACAAAAGAATTCTAATCGCACACACCGAAATCTATAATCCACTTGTATTAGGCCTAACATTAGTTAAGCCTTTATTAAGTAGGACACAAAAACTGAGTATTATCATAAGAGATAGAGAAAACATGCTGAATAATGAAATGGTATTTGAACTCAACCCTATTTGGTTTTCTTTTCCTTCAAATTAGTGTTTCTACTTTGCTGCCTTTACGCGTATTTTCTCACTATTTGGTTGCCCGTTATTTAACCTTGACCTCTGAAAGGTCCTTTTGAACCTGCACTTACAAAATGCTGAGAACAGCTTTACTCCTGCCTTTGAGAATACGTTTGGTATGTCGAAACTAGACAAAAATTTTGTATTTTTATATGTTTTGTTAATAATTTAGTCATTTATGTAATATTATGCTGGTGTGTTATTACTAATTTTTAAGAATTAATTTGTAAAAATATTTCTCCTTCTTTGAATAAAGTAAAACATAAGTAACTCCGAGAAATCACACACAAATAACTAATATAACCAAGAGGTTAAGAATTATGAAACACAGAAATTAACAGCTGTGAAAGAAAATGAGGTGACAATCTCATGCTTTTAAGAGATGAATATATATCATATGCTCTCTTAATATCCTTTCAACATAGAAACTTTGCTTTATATGCAAGCCTTGAAAGAAATTAAAGTAATTATTTTATGAACTAGTATATATATATATGTACATATATCTATATTTGGTATAGGCATCTTAAATTAAAAAAAATTCTTAACCCTTTGATCACATTATTATTATGATTTTCTTCTGTAAACACTCATGAACACCTAGACTCTTTGAATTTGGAATGTAAGTCAAAGGTCTAGGAGAACAAATATTGTTTACATGATTGTTAGTGCTCTTCTTTATCGTTATTATAATACATACATACAAAATATAGTTTTGCATTTGCTGTAGTTTGTTGATGTGTGTTTTTGATACATATATCCATGATATGCAGGCATATCCTACGACTGGTCTTATTTATGTCGTATAAATTTACCACCTCGTTCGTATATACAGAGATATTAGTTTGTTTTGAATTTCGCGCAAAGCTATACGAGCTACAAAGCTATCTACGCCGAACGTCCTTCATTTAGCAGTAATAGATCAAAGGGAAGGCAGCTAGTGAATATCAACTATTGAGCTGTTCTTTTACCAACGAATAGTGGGATTAGCCGTTACATTATAGACGTAGAGGCCTAATGTTTTATTTGATTGGCTGTATCCTCTGCTTTGGATTGCAGTTCTTTGATTTGTTAGCCCAAGCTATGCTGATGAGCCTTCAATTGGCGAAACATCAGTTCACAGCCTTATACAGGTGTCTGGACTACTGTGTTGTTGATTGTGATTAACCTGTTACCTTTCGTAAAATGGCTCTCTCTTGACATGAGTTAAACACCCAGTCTTCTTTGAGGTTTAGCCATGGTTCATGAACAGTTTGAGTACTTCTTAATTCTGTGATTCAGATCAAAATAATAAACAATATAAAATTTGGCAAGAGACCATATCAGTATCTCAGGTGGAATTACTTTTCAGTTTAACTTCACATCACTAAGATAAGTGATTGGTGTTATTTTATAACAGTGGTTTGACGTTGTCATTACTTAAAGATTATAAATTCAAATCACTTCTAAGTTATATATTCTTTTAAGCTCATGACATTGGTAGAATTATTGAATACACGATAAACAATGAACTCCACGTTTTTTTTTATTTAATTTTGTTACTTGAAGGCTACTGTGCCATACCCGTGGTCAGTTTGGCTTGACGACAACTACAGCACTATCAAAAAGCTTATAAAAAAACAGACAGACAAAAACGTGAAGTTTACCTATTTATTGTGCATTTACCTAAAAATGTGGAGTTTACCCGCTTATTATGTATTCATCTGTTAATTATTTTATGCAATTAATACTTACAACCTTCTTGCAAAGCATTAAATTAGAGTTGGCTTGGTAGTTAAAAGAGAGGTATACTACGTTCTTCTTCTTCTTTAAGCTGTGAAAGCAACCAGTTATGAGTCTTATATATTACAGTCATAAGCGTTTAATTATATAGATATCGATTGATAACATATTGTTAACAGTGACAGTTATGTTAAAATCATTACAATAACTGATATGACACTTCGTATAAGTCATTACATTTTGTAAGTACTGTTGATGGAATTTTCGTAACTTATGATCACAACGTAAAGTTTTTAATATTGGTTAAAAAATAAATAAATAAATAGATAAGGATTTAAAATAAATTAGATTCAATTTATTGTTTAATTGGTTTAATCTTTATCGTGAATATTGTAGGAGCTGCAAATATATATGTTTAATCTTTTAAAAATTCTATCTATGAATTGTAGTAAAGTTCCATTACAGAATGATATTCATGTAAAACGTTTCTTTGACTGCTCAAAGTGCTTCTTTGCGGATATTGTATTCAATTTCCGTGTTTATTCACAGCACAGTCTGTCACGAGGAGAAGTCAAAGGTGAAATGAAGAATCTGAAAAATAACCCATTTCTACGTGGATAACACGTGTTACATTATTATATAATAATAATAATAATGGTATTCACTTTCATTAATACTTGTTTATTATTATAAACGATGGTAATATTATTATAGTCATTTTTTCATAAATATAACGTAAGAACTATTTTCTTTTGGTCTGCACATTTCACGAGACAATTCTCATACCGCATTAAAGTCCATCTCTAACATAACCGTTGCACTCTTCGTATGACCTTACTACTGAGAAGAGGGTGAGTTTCGTCAATCTATAAGGTTCTATGGTAGCTCTAGAAACAAACTAATTTATAGTTTCTTTTTATATTCTAGCATGTACCATAATTAAATAACGTATTATTTATATATAAATATATATATATATATATGTGTGTGTGTGTGTTTGTTAACGTGTGTATTCGCTAATGGTGGCGAGATTACATATGACGTATTCCTCTGGCAGAAAACATTTTTCAAATCAAATTAAGCAAAATAGTGTATAGATGGTTGTCATTATGTCAGTAAATCCGTGGGTCTCTCACGTGGTAGCCAGCTCGTGGATCTAATGTCATGAAATTTCTTGGAAAAATAAGTTACGGCTTGCATAGCTTCTGCAAGTTAAACCAAAATAAAATATATCGACAGCTTAGATAGTGTATCGAGGCAACATTGCGAATTAAGATTTAAACGGGACTGACCCGTACAAGTTGAGGCCGAAACAACTGAGTGCAAAACTATGGATCAAGATTTAGAATTGGAAGAATACCTGGTTCAAAAATGAAGAAAGCCTGTCACTTAAACCCAAAACATCCAACTAAAAATCACTATGATAACTTTATTTTATCCAAAATGGTAATGTTTTATCAAAGTTCACCAAGTGGAGCTGTGAGCACCACGAATATTGCATTATTATCTGTATCAAACGTAAGAGCAAGATAAGATTTTAATATAAGAAAAACTTGGATTTACCGTAATTCATCCATTTATTGGTGCTTCACCAAATTAATTAATTAATTTATTTATTTCAAGTGGCTGATTTGAAAACAGAAGAGTAGAAAAAAACTGCCCGTATTATAAGTGAAATGAAAATAAGAAAAAACAACAACAAATTTGAACGAAACAAGATGTTTTGAAATGAATGGTGGCAAATTGCAATCGAGAAAATAACATTAATACTATTATCAGGTGTAGACCCACATATTTGTCTCTGAGAAAGAGAATTTTGTGATTTTATTTTCTTTGGACTGAAAAGGACTTCACTGTAAAGAAATTCTGGTAAAGTTCTGTAACAACATCCAAGACATTGTTTATATTTGCATTCGTGTCTGATCTTGTAGAGAACCATACTCAAGAGCTCTAGTTGTATTAATATCAATGACAAATACCATACACACACACACACAAATGTACAAAACTTTGTTTTAGCTAATGATCCCGAGGCTGTCAATGGGTGCCAGTAATATGCATTAGTAAACAGACATATGAAACTGAGTTTGACAATATGACAAGCTGTGATAATGTAAATACCAGTGGCTACATGAGGCTAACAACGATTGCCAATAATAAGCATTAGTAAACAGGCAAATAACAAGGGCTATGTTAGTGTCTGGATGAACATTAAACGTGAAAAGGAGACTAGTACCGTCAAGACTGAAGGAGTTTCTAGACTTTAGATAAACACGTAAAAAATGTAACGTGACCTATACTTGCTACATGGCTGCAATGTGAAGCGGGACTCATTCGTAAAAGAATGATGTTACATCCTTTACTGATTTACTGTATATAGATTCATCACAAGTGTGTTAATGTATACACAGATTCATCATAAGTGTGTTAATGTATACACAGATTCACCACAAGTATATTAATGTGTGCATATACGCAGCTTTATAATTGCTTAATACAAAGTATATTTTTATTTGTTAGAAGAAGTTTGATTACCAGAACACTATTAACACATTTTAAAACTGTAGCTTCAGAACTTATTCAGAAATGAGGATAAAAAAGAAAGTTTTGAGATGTTAACTTTTAACTTAATGGTCTGGTGATTAGAGCACTTGACTGGCAATCTGTGTGTCTTGGGTTCGAATCCCGTCAACGAACATGCTCGCCTTTTCAGCCGTGGAGGCGTTATACTGTGACGGTTAATCCCATTATTCGTTGTTAAAAAAAACTAGTCTAACTGTTGGTGGTGTTGATTAGCTGCCTTCCCTCTAGTCTTTCACTACAAAATTAGGGGCAGCTAGCATAGATATCCCTCAAGAAGTTTTGCACTAAAATTAACGAACAAACAAATTTTACACTTAATGGTCTTGATTCATTAAGTATTTGGATTATCTGAATAAATATCTATTTGACAGCATTTATGCAACTCGCTTCTATATTAACAAGTTAAACTCTCAAAATTAAAATATTTTGTTTCCCCCAATTGAGAAATCAAGGTGACAGATTTGGCAAAAACATTTTTGTTGTTGTTTTCTCAGTACAAAGCTACACACTGGGTTATCTACATACCGTCCACAGCGGCGTTTAGTGTTCTAAGTACGTAAACTTACCGCTCGCCTTCTGGTGGACAATTTTGCCGAAGAAGTAACAAAAGAAAATATTTGCTCATTGAAAATATCATTTGTGCTTACGCCTCTTTATAACGTAATTTCAGATTTTTCACATAAGTTATTAATAATGTATGAAAGACACTGTATGATTGCCAAATATCTGCCGATACGAATATCAGTAAAAACAACATGTAGTATAGAAAACTTAGTTTATTTGTTACATCTTAGAGTGAGGTTGAAAAGCTTGTTTGTTTGTTTTGAATTTCGCGCAAAGCTACACGTTAGCCGTCCCTAATTTAGCAGTGTGAGACTAGAGGGAAGGCAGCTAGTCATCGCCACCCACAGCCAACTACGTGATCTAGATCTAGTTTGCTTGGCCTAACCAATACTTACATATCTGCACGACCTTTCACCTTATCGTTTTGCTGCTCGAAATCAGCAGTCTGTAATCCGAATGACAAAAAACTTGAACGCTTCACTTTTACTCTTAGGTGAAGCTGTAGTAAAAAATGTTAGACCGAGAGCTCACGTGACTTTTTGCGAAGGCCTGCGCAACGTTTTCGTCAAATTTGAGCGGTTTTGTTGAACAACTTTACACATGTGGCTTATATTTACAACAAATGTCACTTCTAATTGTAGGTTGAAAAGATCTATCAGTGTAGCAAATTTGAAAAACAATTCATAAAGGTTAAGTATGTTTTTCTATCAAATAAAGTTTCCGTACTTTTGTTGCGAAGAAAAAATAGAAAGAAACTCAATCTAAATTGGAGATGTTATATCTTAGAAATTTCTTAATGAATTGCCTTGAAGTATTGTATGAGAAATAAGAGTCCAGTAGAGTACATCCATTGAAAATATGTAATATTTTGGATTACCACAGTCTGAGATACAGAATATAGAAAATCGTTAAACTATCACTCCTGTTAATACCACACAGTTTGTCCTGCAGCACGTGTCTTGATTGATCCAACGAATGCTATAGATCTAACTTTATTTTTTATAATGTATGTTTATGTTCTTCTAGGTAGATGACTCTTGAGTTGCATATTAGCAGAGCTTTAAAATAAACTTTGATTATTAATCTCTTTTCCTAAACAATTTAATTCCGATATCATTACTAGAACAGCATATTAATTAACATGACGGAAAATAGACGAATCTGTATTATTGGAGCCGGATCTAGTGGACTCACCTCCATTAAAGCATGCCTGGAAGAAGGTCTCCAACCATTCTGTTATGAAAAGACTGACCACCTAGGTGGTCTGTGGCGTTTTCGAGACAATGACTTGGAGGGCGTTGCTTCAGTGATGAAGTCTACAATAATCAACACCAGTAAAGAAATGAATGCCTACAGTGACTTCCCTCCTCAGAAGGAATTTCCTAACTTCATGCACAACAGTTACATGATCAGGTACATTGAAATGTATGCTGAAGAGTTCGACCTGGCTCGACACATTCACTTCAGACACGAGATCCTAAAAGTTGAAGAAAACCATGACTTTGATGAAACTGGCCGCTGGAGAGTTGCCATTCGGAACATTGAAGAAGACCAAATCTTTGATGACGTCTTTGATGGAGTAATGGTGTGCATCGGACATCACGTGTATCCTCACGTCCCTACTTTCCCGGGTATTGAAAGGTTTAAAGGTAAAGTACTTCATACCCATAGCTACAAAAAACCGGATGGATTTAGTGACAAAAGAATAGTGATCGTTGGTGTTGGAAACTCCGGAGGAGATGTGGCTGTGGAACTAAGCCAAATAACGGATAAGGTAAGAGTTATTTATAGTATGAGAAAGTTTTAAACCTTAACTCTACTTCACTTGGGCAATCAATGCTCTGACTGACTGCCACATTTTAAGCGAGTAACAAACCACATACTGTCAGAGGTATGACGAAATAAATAGTTAAAACAATATAGTGGCCAAATTATGACTACCGAAATATTGTTTTCTATTTTATTACGTTTTTTGTATACATGAATAGAAGCTTTAGTGTTAATTCAGGAAATACCTGATTATTAATGACGTTGTATATTAAACTGGACTCATGGTGAATTTGACTAAATACTTACTAGTAAACTTACTTGCTGCAAGAATTTTTTTTACCTTTTTTTGCTGAAATATATACTTATGGTAATATATATATATATAATATATAAGTATCTACAAAAATACCAAGAACGTATTATGTTTCTTTTTTTTTTAATTGGGTGAACAAAGTAATATGAACAATACTAAATATACAATATGACAGTTGAACTCACTTAACTGGATGAGTCACATTAGCAAATTGATAAAAGTATTTATTGGTGAAATTGAATGAATAAACAATTTATGAAGTGTACAAGAAATAAAGTTATACCATTTTCTCTTTGAAGAAATAAACCATTGAAAATAAAACAATATGATATATTAATATAACATTGTGTTAACTTAGAAATAAATAAATATATCAGCAACTCAAATAAGACAACAGCTTAATGTGTTCCATAATGTCCAATTTGGGTTCATAGAGATTGATATTGGGGTGTTGAGCTGGCCAAGACAGATTGTGTTAGTTATTTTTGTTCCTGATTTACAAGGTGAGGTATGGGCGATAAAAATGTTGTAAGAATTATATCCTATCACCACAGAAATCCAAGTGAGACAGCGCATTGCTGCCTGGAATATCAACATTCAGTAAGACATTAATAGTTTGGAACTATTAACAGAGAACCAAGTCCAAACTATCTTTCATCATGATTGTAGCTCCACCATAGTTAACGTGAAATATTCATGTCTAAAGCATTTCTCAGGTTATCGTCAAATCCAGAGCCGTGTATCCGAAGAAGAAATTGAGTTGTAGGAGCTTAATAGATAACAAAGACTCGATAATACTGATCTTTCTAAAATAGCCCATCTTAAAGTGAAGAACACTAGAGGATAAATTAGAATAATACTAAAATAATAGGATATGATCCTCGTGTTAGAAAAAAAAACATGGAAGAAGCCTTCTACATCTACTTAACTGATACCAAACACGGCCAACTTAGCAAAGAAGTCTGCAAAGCTTAGATATACTTCTGGAAGACTTTCAAATAGTTAGTGATTTCAATTTCAACAAGGGTGACCCCAGTAAAGTAGGTGTCGCACTAAAGTTTCTATTAAGAGCTCCCAGGATCGAATCTTGGCCTAACATAAAAATAGTTTCTTTGGGCTTTGTTGAATTAGTAATTAGTATCTAATCGAAACACAGGACAAAAAAGCATTAGTAATTAGTATCTACTTATAACAAAAATTAGCCACTAATTAATAATTACACTTAGATTATCATTATAGGCCACAAACCATGATATTGATTGATATCCGATCGCCACAACCTTAACGTAAGTACTTAGTTAGGGTTAAGATGTTATGGCCGGAGGAGCACTGTTCCAATATTGTTAGCAGTGTATTGCATAATTTCTATTTCATTTATTAGAAAAAATAACATTTAAGAACTAAGAAAATAAGATAAGCGCAAAGTTACGTTAGATGTGAGTCAGACGTGCTTTAAATTACTTAGTGTTCAAACATATGCATATTCTTCTTCTTCTATAATAATCGCCTGTTGTAAAATTATAATTTTTTTCTAAATCATTTTTTCAGGTTACATTCAGGTTTAAATTAATCAAAACTCGAATTGATATTTAAAAGGTCACAAACGTTTAAATCTTTCAGCATACGTTGACGATGTAAACATTCATGTTAGGCAATTAGAAGAGCTCAACGTAATTGAGAATACATCAAAGTGCTTTGAATTAATTTCGAGTTCCAAGTTTACTGCATACATCAAGTAACTGGAGAATAAATCGTATATTTACGAATCATGATATTACACATGAAGTCAAATGAACTATGGATTTTTGTATGATCAGACTGTTGGAATGGGTCTTGGCAAATGTCTTCGTATAATAGATTGATTATGGAAAACATACAAGGAAGAGTGGTGTGCTTTGAAAATGACAGCCTTACTACTTAGCCATTTGCAATGGAAACTATGTTGCAGGGCTATTATCAAGTGTATAGTTGTCAGAAAGAGTATAACTGGACGTGGTAACACGAACTGTAACGAAGTGGTGAGGCTTCAATGTCATTTAAGTATTACGTTCTCAACTTAGTAGTTTGTTTCAGTTCTTCTCATGAATTTGATGGAAACACATGATAAATTGAGACGTTCCAATAGAATTGCTTTGGAAGATTGTTTGTTTGTTTGTTTTGGAATTTCGCGCAAAGCTACACGAGGGCTATCTGCGCTAGCCGTCCCTAATTTAGCAGTGTAAGACTAGAGGGAAGGCAGCTAGTCATCACCACCCACCGCCAACTCTTGGGCTACTCTTGCTTTGGAAGAAAGTTGGTATAACGCTAAACTAAATAGAAACACCACAATATACTGTAAACATACTGTTATTGAAAGAAACTCATTTGTTTTAACGATACGCTTATTGGACATCGTTAAGTTTCAGTTGATGGATATTAAATGATGTAGCACGTGGTAAGACTTGCAGTAGAATAGATGGCAACAAAATCTATCATTTTTTGCTAGTGCCCTTGCGAAATGATCGAAGTATAGAATATTTGGTTCCAATTGTTGTAGCAATTACATCTATGGTTAGTAATAATAATGGAGATCTGAATTAATCCTACTGTGCTCAAGATGATGTTTCGTCTACATAAACAGAAAAACAAAACTATTCTTAGTTTTGTTCTATTGTATCTTAAATGTCCTAATTGTATACGTGAAAATATACTTAGAAATCTTCCTGAAAAACCTGATGCCGAAATTCAAATGGAAACTCATGCATGATGTACTCTCCTCCTCAGTGTGATTAAAAAAGTATCGATTTGATTGAAAATATTATTTGTCCTCATTGTTGTGTGAAGAAAATGGATATTTGGTGTACAAGTAATGAGATTTTACTAGATGTGACTTCTAAGATAAGTTTTTTAATTTTATAAACATGCGAAACTTATGATTATTGGTATTTATATTTTATAAAAAAAGTTAATTTTCAAAAGGTAAGTCTTTGTAATTTACTATTACTTTGAGTAAAAGTATTATTTATACTGCAACGAGACTAATTTATTCCACAACTTAGCGATATTAAAGAAAGGATTTATATGATTCATGTATTAATTGTGAGTATTCGTACATAAAACGCAATAATGATATAGAACTGTTTCATAAAATTTGGGTCAGTATTGTTAATGGTTCAAATTATCTATAGAAAGGATTAGCGTAAACCTTATAACTGACTGCTTATGTGCAAAAATATGTATGTATACGGGGCAGACTGGACTCCAAAATGTTACCGAAAAAAAGCTAGGAGGGGCCCACAAGTTTATCATATAAATATAAAACTACCTGTTTTTCTAAGGGGCCCACTGGAATTTTTCCCGGTGTCTCGTTAGGCCAGTCCGCGCCTGTGTATACTTGTGAATACACACACATACACACACACACGCGCGCATACATATATACGTAATATTTGTGTTTAAGACCATACATAATATAGTGCTGGAGAACAAGTTTTAATTGGTTTTCTCTATACCAAACTTGTGAAAACTTATTTGGTTCTTTCAAAAAATAAAAAAAAATAAAAAATGAAAATAAATAAAAAATGTGGCTATACGGCTATACATTACCCTGACAAAATATTACCAGTATGTAGCAAAATGACCCTGAAATTTGTATACATTACTCCATGCGTCCCTTAAAGTAAATCCCTTGCATCAGTTTCATACTCCGTTTCAGTATATATATATGTAAATATATGTGTGTGTGTGTGTGTATCTGCCATTTTTAAACTAACATTTCACATGTAAACCACCCACTTTATGTCATATACAATGGTAACGTTCTGCTAGGACACAATATATGTAGACATATATTTAAGAATGGTTAATCGTGAATTAAGATTTGAGGATTGAATCGTAAATCGAATCACGAATACTAAAAAGAAACATTGCTATTTATTAAATAAATGTTTTACATAGAATTAATCAAACTTTCTTTCTGTGAATTAGAACATCTACTTCACTACCATATTTGTGAAGCATATATACTGAGTTTCATAACTTATCAGTTAATGAATTTAATTACATATGTTATGAGAACATACTTGACTGTTTTTAACCTTCCTAGGTTTATCTTAGTACCAGACGTGGATGCTGGATCAATTATCGAGTTGGTTCTAATGGAATGCCGTTTGATACTATATTTTTACGCCGGTCAGTGAATTGTTTATCCAGTATCTTACCTTATACTACAACATGCGACATACTAGAAAAGCAGTTAAACAGGAAGATGGATCATGATGCATATTGTCTTAAACCTAAGCATCGAATTCTTGGACAGCATCCAATGGTTAATGACGCTCTTCCCAATAGGATTTTGAGTGGAACTGTCGTAGTAAAAGGAAATATCAAAGAGTTTACAGAAAATGGAGTGATTTTTGAAGGAGAAGAC